ATGTAATAACGTTTGAAGTTATTTGAAGATAAATTAAGATCTCTACATGATTCAATGACAAGAAGTCATTAGTGGTATAGCCCTAATGATCCCTTTTCTCCAATGACAAATTGATAAATTAGTATTTTTGTTTATATAATAGTCTCTCCAAGTTTGTTTAATGCGATCAGTTCCTCAGAGTCTTATTAATACTGAAATAATGGGTAATATCAAATTTCCACAGCATGAAGTAAGAAATCTTTGTGAAAGAGCTATTGAGAAATATAGCCTTTTATCCTCTTATTAAAAGTTGGTTGCAAACAATAAGAAAGCACCTCTATTTGTTTCCTACTTGTTCCAGACATTTAATATACATGCAATCTTTTTTAATTCTCAAAAATAATCTTCTGATACAGCTATTATTTTAGCCATTAGATATCTTTGAGTTCCTAGTACAGAGATATATAAAAAATTTCAGAGATTTTATTAATTGACTTAGAGGGAATCACTTCAGGCAGTGTTTGATCTAGTGGCTCAAACATGTCACCAAAAATTATTCTCTTTCCTGCTTTCTATGGTGATAGCTTCGTCCCATGGCTGCCAGTCTGTGGTACTACATGCTGTCTTGTGCACTTCCAGTGGCAGAGAATGCTCCTTTCCTGGTACTTCTCTCAAAAAACAAAGTTTATTTCACTCTTTAAGTATCTCCTAGTATCTCAGTGGACTAAATTAAGCCGTGTGCCTATCTCTGAGCCAGTCACTTGGGCAGGGGAACAGACTTCATTGACTGGGTGAAGCCAATCTAGAACCACCCGTATTATTGAGGGTGAGGTTAATACTTTCCAAAATGGGAGAAGAGCAGTTTCCTAAAGGAAATTGAGGTGAATGAGGAAAAATAGATGTTGTGTGACAGACAACCAGGGCCTACTACAACTCTTGCTCGTTTTATATGCCAAATAACTTCAACAACAACAATAATAATAAGTTGTAGCAGTCTTTGCTGTATGTACTATGTGCTAGGCACATGCTTGATGCTTTAGACACATTTTAGTCTTCAAAACCATTTTGAGAAATAAATGGAATTAATCCTTGTTTTAAAAAAGTTTAAAAAGGGGCTGGCCCTGTGGCTGAGTGGTTCATGTTCCATGCGCTCTGCTTTGGTGGCCCGGGTTTGTGGGTTTGGATCCTGGGCACAGACCTACTCCACTCATCAGCCATGCTGTAGAGGCATCCCACATACAAAATAAAGGAAGGTTGGCACAGATATTAGTTCAGGGCTAATCTTCCTCAAGCAAAAAAAAAGAAAGAAAGAGACGATTGCCAAAGGATGTTAGCTCAGGGCAAATCTTCCTCACCAAAAAAAAGCTTTGAAAAGATTGAACAACTTACCCAAGCCTACATAGCTAATCAGATCTAGATCACTCTGACTTCAATATCTATGCTCTTTTCACCACATCATTCTGTCTCCCTAGTAAACCAAAAGCTGCCTGTTAAAAGATATTAAGTATTGTCTCAGAAATTCATTACTGGTGAAGAATTCTAGAAAAATAATCCATCCTATCTTGGTTTAATGTGCAGTATGCCCATGCAGAAATAAGCCTTGTTAAGACAAAGTTACAAAAGGGGAGTTATTATCTTGTTTTGCCCTCTTTGAACACCAAGATCCTTACTGCAACGGTCAGGTAGGGTACTCTATGCTATGTGCGTGCACGCACGTATACACATACATACATGCATACATATATACATATGTGCTGCATATACGACTATTGTGTATGTCACAAATTCTAAGAGAGCTTCTTTAACTTGGCATTTAATGAAAAGGACAAAGAAATGAGTTCAAAGGAACAGACGCTGTCCTCCGCAGTAACTTCACAGTGAATACTAAAGACTACATCATCTGATGTCATTCTCCAGTTCTTCACTTAATGGTGATAATCAAGTGTTGTGCCTAAGGGAATATTTCTGGCCCAGTCTGAATTATTTTCTGAGTCTCCTAGCTTTAATATCATAATCTGTCACTGGGGAGTTTGCTTCTTGCTTCAAGGTTCTTAATGCTTGTACTTGCCCAAGGCTCAGGCTTTCAGTAAGGAATCATAATTATTTAATTTTTACTGAAAGCTTTGCTTCTCTACAGTGTTCTGCAAGAAGCTGGCTAGGGCTGTGGAATGGTGCAGCTCTGTTCTTTTACTTAAGATCACAGTGTGTATGGCTTGAATAACTATAAATTGGAAATAAATTTAAAATTTACTTTAATCACTTAGTGATTTTAAGCAAGAAATTTCTCTACCGCAGAAATATTGTTGGATTAACTAGGACATTCAGGCACCACTTTGTCTGCATCTTTGGCTGTGTCATGAATTTGCAAATAGCTGTATCTAGCTCTACCTTTCTAGTACTTTACTTTCATCGGCTTGGCATCATTTTTCAGCTAGTTTTTAATACTATTTAAGGGTTGTCTTTTCTTTGTTTATTAAAATATTAAGCATTTGTTGTTTTACAGTCTTATCTACCAAGAATTGCTTCTTTGCAAATCTTTTTTTTTAAATGATACAATTTGTAAGGCAGTAGTATTACAAAAGCATTCTATCAAGATGAGCTCAGAGTCTTAAATGCACTAAGTTTTATTGTCAGAATTTGAAGAATGTTATGGCATCCATCAGGTGCCATTGATAAGAAGTGTAATGTCATCCTTTTCTAAACATTATTTTAACATTTAAGAAGTTCTTGAAAAGCATAGTTCTAACCACTGGAGGGGGGCTAAGGAAGAAATGTTAAAATTAATGAAAAACAGTCCTTGTCTTCATGGGTAGCTGATAAGTTGCAAGAAGAAGGAGATATGTACACGTTGTTTACTCATTCATTCAAGAAATGTTTATTAAGATGTTATTACATGCTAGACACTGTGGTAGGCACTGAAATTTACAGTATTGAACAACAGAGGTGCAATTCTCTTTGCAGGGTTTACAGGCTGGGGCAGGGGTTGGGGAGTGTGAGGAGGACTATATGAAGGAGTAAATTTAAAAAGAGCAAGAGGCAGATGGAAAAGTTCTGAATATGAGCTAACTTTGGAATGAAATAATATTGGGATTCCACAGAACACTGGTGTTATGTCATATACTGCTTTAAATCAAATCCCAGAAAAGATCTTTTCATTTGAAAGCTATTCCACAGCTTAAAATGCAATGTGGTTTCAAGACCAGAAGGGGGTACTTTTCCTAAAACAGGCCAACATACATCTAACAAAAGAATTAATATATGTGAATATTGGTCCAAGAAATAACTTGAACTAAATATTGATTTCAAGTCCATTTTAATAGGCATTTTTGGTACCTATTAAAATTGAGAAATTAGTAGTTAATTTGCTGTTGATTGTTGTATTTATGTGTTTTGTTCAGAAAATTAAGCTTGATAGAAACTATTTCAATAATCTTCTTAGGAATATTAATATATTTGATATTCTCTTTAAAAGAACAGAAAAAAGTAAATTGTCTGATGTTAAGATTATTTTTAAGCATATAGCTTATTGATTTTTTAAATGACCCACCTAAATTTGGGTGACACTTCATTTGTGAATAAGAGAAGTTAGAAAGAGAAAACATTATAAGGAGAGTTAGACAAGTGTTTATTTTCTAGGTACTCTCATTAAAGAAAAGACCTCTAGAGTTGTTCCATTTAAGGAAGCCTAGATCCCTGGTGAAGAGGATAAAAAAGTTTAGGAAATAGCAATTAAAATGCTAATCCTTCTTACAAAATTCTGGCTTAAAATTCGACGGCCTAATAGAGAAAGTGGGAATGATTGTTTTTAGAGAAGATTCTTTCTAATATACTTCAACTTTTTTTTTAATAATGCAATATGCTGTACACTAACAAGGAAAAATAATTAAATCTTAGCCTTTACTGCTATGTTAGGAATGACTGCACAGTTTAAAGGTACACCATTTAATATGGTAGTCACTGGCCATATGTGGCTCCTGAGCTCTTGAGGTTTTGAAATGTGGCTAGTGCTTCTAAAAAACTGAATTTTGAATTTCGTTTAATTTTAATTGATTTAAATTTAAAAATTGATACATGATTCACATTATTGAAAATTTTTAAGCGTTTGGAACAACTTAAGTAAAATGAATCTACTTTTTCAACTGTACTTTTTTTATGAAATCTAAGTACAGATTAAATATTTCAGATGAAAATCTGCATCTAAATTGAGATGTCCCATTAATGTAAAATAAGCATCATATTTTAAGGACTTAAGATGTTAAAATGTAAAATATCTCCACTATATTTTTTATAATGATATATGTTGATATAATAATATTTTGGATATATTGAGCTAAAGAAAAAATATATTTTTAAAATCAATTTCACCTTTTTGTTGTTGTTGCTTTTTAAAATGTGGCTACCAGTAAATTTAAAATTACTGTATGGTTTGCATTATATTTCTTCTTGACCGTGCTGGTTTGAGTTTCTCTACGACATCACTGGAATCCATTTGATGTACAAAAATGCAGTCTGGCTCAGCAGCTAAATTTTATCAAAATCATACTCTTTTTTTCCTCTCTTTCTGGCTCCACTATCAGTGATGGTATTGTTAATAATCTCAATTTTTTTAAGCAATCACTGAATCTGATAAATTCAATATCATTTACTTTTTTGTTTAACTCATAATTATAACCTTTTATTTGTATTAGAAACAATAAAATTTCTTAGAAAATTTCAGCCGGGCAAATTGGTGAGAAATTGTTATGGAGGAAAAATATGACTTTGTTTGAATATTATCATGTGTTGGGTAATATATAGTGTGAATCACTTAAAGTACCTAAACTGTTTCTAGGAAAGTTTATGGTGTCTGCTTCTAATAACATGTGTTTTTTTCATATTTTGTTTATCCTCACCTCAAACAAAATGGACAAAAAGCATGGCCAATTGTGTAATGCTTTTTATTCTGTCAGGTATCTCTAATAGGTGATAAATGTGACTTTTATCATGATTTTGTCTCATTGTTCTTCTGTCAATTCTTCTAGGAGGTGATTTCCTCTCCTTCCTGAGAAAGAAAAAGGATGAAATAAAACTCAAACAATTAGTGAAATTTTCATTAGATGCTGCCTCTGGTATGTCATATCTCGAGAGTAAAAACTGTATACACAGGTAAGGAGAACATTTTTAAAACATTTTTCAGTTTCATTAATAGAATGCTAGAAAACTGATATATTTGCTATAATACAGTGATAAATTTCTTTGACAAAACATATTTTCTTGTTGGTTTTCATATTTTATGTGAAAGCATTCTTTAGTAGTTGTTTATGTAGTTTACAGAAACATTTGTTTTCTGTCTTACCTGAGGTAAGTACATCTAATTAAATAATGACTTACCTACTAATTAAAATTTGTTTTATTATAATCATGAATAACATAGTGATAAGATATACCACAAATTAGTCATATGAGCAGATGTAGTCTTCTAGCCAAAAAAGATTGTTTATGTCTTACCTATTCTCATTTTTCAAAGAAATTACTTGTTAAGTCGTGGAAAAGCATGATAGTAAAACAAAAATTTATGACTGAATTTGGCCAAGAGTAAAAGATTTTAGCATAGTAGTTTTTTTAAAGGAATTTTTAGAAACTGTCTCTGATTACATTAAGACCAATGACATGTTCTTGATATTTTATAGATTGTAGTTTTAGTTGCTTGTAGCTGCAAGTGTTCTTTGCTGCTAAATGTCAGTACAACTTAAGATCTCTTGCAGAATTCATGTCAGATCCTAAATATGGCAAAGTGTACATAAGCAAAATGAAATGGGGAATTGATGCAGTTTTTATTTGCTGGAAACAGCACATAATACCGTTAGCACGGAGCAGGGTTCATTGTCAGGTTGAACTATTGTGGACTGTATCTAAGCTGGTTTAGTTATTGAGGTATATTTTTCTCTGATGTGTTTCATTACACAGCCTTTGGCTTAACCTTCTGGTGAGGTTGTATAATATATACTTACAGCAGTACACATTTTAACCTGAAATATACATTTATTTGATCTCAATGGATATTTTTGACTTAATTTTCCCCCAAAATTTTGCTTTGTATTCAGTTTTTTTCTGAAACTATAATTATGGCTTATGTTTCGAGTATGGTTCAACAATTGCGTGTATTTTTAAATACATTTCAATAGGGATACTATTTTTCTGGCAATTAAGACAACTAAAACTAAGCCACTGATATTTCTGTTTTACTTACTGTGAATATAGATAAAATCATCTTCTAATAGATAAAGACTTAAAAACGCATTTGATTTTGGGCAAGAATTGCATCATCACTAATTTCATTAGAAGGAAACACTTTGTTAAAAGTAACAGTAAAGGCTTTTGTCCTTTATTTAGAGAAAATCTATAATTTTGATTGCTCAAGTGTTAAAACTACTTCAGGTATCAAATTCTCTACTGTAGTTATTAATTTTGTCTCAGATTTTTTTCAAGCCACTAGATCATCTATAGCTTTAAACCGTAGTAAATACACGTTATTGAAACTGTTTTATTAATTTGTCAATTGCCAATAACATTCTTTAATTTCTTATGCATTGTGGTTGAGAGAACTGTTGTTTCAATTTCTTACTGGTTTTGTAGTGATTGCTTTTCTTGCAAATGGATGACTGCATTTTTTTAAGTGCCTATCTCATCAGAATTGAAACCATTTTAAATAGTAGATGGCAATTAGATTTTAAAAATTTATCCCGCTCACCAAATCATAACATTATCTGCTGTAATGTTATTTTCCCATTGATTTCCCATCTATTTTCCCATTTTGCTTTTTAAGGATTTTCATGCATTTACAAATTTTTGAAAGTCAACCCATGCTTGACCATATATCCTAGAAGGTTGTGCATAGTCCTGTACTATTTGCCTGTGAGGAAGGTTCCTGATTCAACATCTTGAACCATGTCACTGAGGGCCAGTTTGACAAATAGGTTTCAGTGTCAACTTTCAGTGACTGGTAGTGGTTCTCTGTGTTATGTATTGAGAATGATTCCAGGATCAATGACAAAGAGTCCAGTGATCGATTAGTCACATCTGTCGGAGTACTGAAAAGCGTTAACACACAAGCCTCAAATTTGTCATCTGTGGTATAGAATATTTTTTGTCTTTATTTTCATAAATACTTTTCTTTTTCATGTGATTTTCCTTACTAGTCATGTTATAGCAATGATATAATTTTTTCTATAATCACTTCCATTGATTTCTTCTAAATATATTTTTCTATAATCACTTTCGTTGATTTCTTCTAAACTGTCTACTATTCTTATTCTCCTTGTCAATCATGGTTACTGGATGAATTTTATATCTCTAGCCAGTGGTCTTTTGTTCCTCTTCAAACTTATGTAAATGCTCTTTTGGATGAATACATTTTTTCTTTTCATTTCAGTACCTCACCAATACATGACACTGTATTGAGAAAATAAATCATTCTTTGTGTTGAGCTTTTTATAGAAGTGGATTGTGCTGTAGAACCCTGTTCCTATGTGTCATCCTGTGGTACTGTTTCTGTGGAAGCAGTAGTAATTGCACTGGGCTTTTAATTGATTTATAGTTAAAAGATATACTCAAGACATGTTATATGTTTTTTCTGCTAATAAATATTAAATATATATATATATAGTATTCACTACAGTGAAAAGTGTTTTTTCTCATTGGAAAATTTCTAATGAGGTATCGTAACAATTAATTAATCTAAAACATGATCAAAAATTTTCTTTCACTTTTTGAGTAACAAAGCACCAAGCCCTGTTCTTGACATCCCAAAATATTACTAAAATATATACGTGTCTATGAATTGTGAAGTCTGTGTCCCACAAATCCAAGCAAAAATTTTAAATATGCTTTAAATTTTATATGAACTTATAAATTCCAGTGATTAGAGGTCACTGGAATTCAGTACTTGAGAGTATTTCTAATTGTCTCTCCCCAAAATAGTATCTTAACTTTTGGGGGACACATTTTCTTTCTTGAGCTTTGTTTTATTGTTTTGATTACTATGAAAAGAGCAGAGCAATGTTTCATTATGGATAAACAAGTATGACAGCTATAAAATGAAAACAAATAATTGCATAAGGAAATGGCCTGCTTTTGGAAAATGTTCTTATTGTGATTTCTATTTAACTTACAGGAGAGTTCTCTTGATACTCTAAGTTTCTAATTGAAACTATTTGTGCTTGGGAATTACTAGATAATTTGTGTTTCAGTTTAGTTGTAATCGACTGCATTTTCTTTATATTTATTCTATGGGCCAGTGTGAAATTTTCTTTCCTACTTGTACTTTATATGAATATTTGAAGTACACTGATAAACTCTGGGGTGTGTGTGTGTGTTTACTTACAATGGTATATTATTAGATTGTTAGATGTCACTCTAGAAAAAGTATTAAACCTGATTAATTTTGACATTAAGTATGTTAAAGGTTGACATTATACTAGATTTAAATGGTAATGGCATTTATGGTTTTATTGCTAATGAATACTACTGCAAGATTTATTTTTATTTGGGTGTATTTCTAAAAGTTGATTTTGTGCCATATTCTTTGTTTGATGTCCATGGAAAGTAAAGGAATGATAAGCTCTTGATTACCATGTATTTGAGTTAAAGACCATAATCTATGGGGAATTTTGGAAGCATTTCCTAATTTCATGATACTCTGTCATTGGCAATGTGACAAAAGATGTTTTTGGAGAGGTGCTGTAGAATACGATTTCTTTTTCTAATTTAAAATCTTGTACTGGTTCCTTTTCCACAGTGATGTTTCTTTGTTATGGAGTAAGATTAAAAACTTTCAAATTAGAGTCCACATTTTGTTGTTTAGTAAGGATTTTGTGTATCCATTGGGAATAATGATATTTTCAGTACTTCATAAATGTGAACAGTTGCCTACTCTGTGCCAGGGTGATATTGACATGAAAATCATGATCCCTCCCTTTAGATGGATATAACAAAAATACTAATAATGCGAAGAGTTAATCAATTTAGTGATAATATGTGACCTGTCAGTATGGGGGTTATGGTGGGAGTAATCAGGGAAAGTTTTGCAGAGAATACTGTTTGAGTGATACTTGACGTATGGGTATGTCATTGACTAGAATGGGAAGGAATATTCCAGCTAAAGGCAAGTTGAAAGCAAAGTTACAATGTTTTCCATGAGAAAGCAGGACTTAATCGTGGAACCACAAAGAATTCAATATTATTAGAATGGGAAGTCCAAAGGACATGAGGCTGAGCCAGATAAATAGGGTCATTCTCACCAAGGGCCATGTATACCATTTAATTTGGCTAAACTGTGGGAATATCTAGGCTTACATTCAGATAATTTTAAGAAAATTAAAATACTATGATTTTTAACTGGAAAAGAAACATAATTTGAACAAAATCTACAAAACCCTGAAAAATGTATAATCTTGTGAAAAGGTGTTGGTATGAGAACAATTCTAATTTTAAGTTTCATTGAAAAAACTAATTTAGGAAAGCTAAGATTGCCCAGAAAGGAACAATATTACATTTCACTTGAATATGTTCTGGAAGGAGATTGTTTCATCTAATGATTTCTGATAAGGTTTAGGCATGTGTACTTTTTAAGGTAAATGTAAGATGCTGCTTCTATTTTATTTTTGTTTTTTGTGTTTTCATATTTTATGAAGCTAAAGATTTGGAATGATAACATTTACACTTTTCCCAGTGATTCTTGGAGGTTTTACTCTATTTTTAACTACAACTAAGTATCAAGCATCTGAGCTCTTCCTAAGCTTTGAATATACTGAAAAAGTATTCTTGTGCTTAATGCATATTCATATCATTTAAATGGTAAGATAAAGCCAAAATAAAGTAAAATATTTTCTTCAATGTTTTTGAACCCTCCCTCTTTTCTCTCTCACAATCTACCATATACTCAATAGAAGGGACCGTAAGATCTCTTTACAGATTGAGTAACTGAGGCCCAGAGAGATTAAATAGAAGGTCATGTAGACAATTAGCAGCAGGGCCACTGTTAGGTCTTAGATGTGCTGACTTCCTTCTGACACATTCCCAGTCATTGCAATGCCAGTATTTTACTCTGTCTCATTCAAGGGTTAGTAATCTTAAAAGATGACATTTATTGATGATTTACTTGAGTA